AAAAAAAAAAAAAAAAAACCAAAATAAATGGAATTGACGTAAATTTTGACACTTCTCAGAGTCATCCCCATACATTTAGTTTTCTACTCTCTCTGCAGACAAGCGCTAAAGTGGCGTTTGGCTAAAGGCCCAGGTTCATAGTCCTACTGACACAGGCTGTTAATGTATTTCTTTAAAATAATTTACTATAGATCAGGTAGAGGGCTTACAATGTCTTCTTCCCCAGTAAAAACAGCAGAGCATCAACCAGGTACGCTGGCACCAGATGACTGAAGAACTTGTCGATTTGATGGGTGATGTTGTAAGACTTGATGCTGCCACCAGGGTACCAGAGCGCCATGGTGTAGGGGTACTCGTTTACCCATTTTTCTCCTGAGAAAAAGAGAAACCAATAAGACAAGAGTAGCCAGTGCCTGTAGTGCCTGTAGTAGTAATGTCGTGGTGGCCTGGAGGTAGAAGACGCCCGCTTCTCATGCATGAGGGTGCTGGTTCGAAACCTACCGAGGGCAAGTACCAATGTGACTTTTTCCAAGTTATATGTACTTCCTAAGATTATTTAGACATCACTGACAAACGGTAAAGGAAAACATCGTGAGGAAACCTGGGCTTATCATTTCTAATTATAAGTTTGCCATCACCAACCCGCATTGAGTAAGCGTGGTGATTAATGCTCAAAGCTTCTCCGTGTGAGAAGAGGCTTTGCTCAGCAGTGGGCATTTATAAGCTGTTGATGATGATGATGCTGATGATGAGCCAGTGCCTGACTGACCTTTTAGAGAGACTCAGGGTCGCGCAGCGAGCGATGGAGAGAGCTACGCTCGGAGTTTCTTTACGGGACAAAGTCCGTAATGTGGTTTTTCAAAGAACCAAAGTTATACTTTAATAATAACTATCGTTATACATACTAAATTATCTAAAAATCGCGAGTTACTCACGTGAATATACTGAGAAAAGCTCTACTAGTTTCGAACCACAGAGGCGATCTAGTTCGTGGTACGGTAGTGGCGCGGTCACCGGGCCGCGAACGGTGCTGATGAGGAAGACCACTCTGTGGTTCGAAACTAGTAGAGCTTTTCTCAGTGTCTACATTCACGTGAGTAATTAGCGATTTTAGTTAACTAAAATGATAGATATTGCTCTCAAAATCGGAAGTGGCAATGGAGAGGCCACATCCCTCGAAGTACCGACGGCCGATGGACCAGGAAAGTACCCCAATGGCGAAAAGTATAACGAAGTCTTTAATCCAAAAAAGAACCTACCAGTTCCTATAATGTGCGAATACCAAGGAGTGGAACTCCAACCCAGAGTCTGTGTTTCCTGAAGGGTATAACCTGTGTGTCTTCAAGGCCCGAGTGAATAGGTTGCTTATGTAGCCGTGCTCCATCGTAGGCCGCATCATCGTGCACCACCAGGCGAATAATGGAGGAATGCCGATCTATCACCATCCAATTAAAAAAAAAACGTTATTTTTTTTTAACTTACCTAAGTCTATGATTTCCTGCCATGTCAGGTTAATTACACCCGATAAGGTAAGGTTATATACTTGAGTTTCTTTTGGCCTGAAACAATACAAAACAATATATTATCATCTTCATGCGTACAACCACGTATTGTCCACTGCCCCCCATAGTCTTCCCCCAATGACTACACATCGCGAGGTTGGCAGCGACCTGCATACAGCGACTGTCGCGACCTTTAAAAGTGCGTTGCCAGCCTTTTTTGTGGGAGGCGAGTGTTGCTGAATGAACTGGAGATTAGACATTGGGGACGTAGGAGACCACATCCCCAATATAATCTCTAATCTCCAATCCTCAATCTCAAATATAAGATCTCTAATCTCTAATCTCTAATCTCTAATCTCTAATCTCTAATCTCTAATCTCTAATCTCCATTCTCCAATCGCCAATCGCCAATCTCCAATTTCGGATCTTAACTCTCAACTGCCTAATCTTCAATCAGCAATCCCAATCACCAATGCTAATCCCAATTACCAATTCCCAGTGCACAATCCCCAATCCCAATTCTCAATACCAATCCCCAATCCCAATGGTCAATTTCCAATTTTCAATGCCCCAGTCCTTCACAATCCCCATTTCCCCCAAATTGTTAATCTCTAAAAGGCCGCCAACGCACTTGTAATTCGACTAATGTAGAAAGAAAGAAGAAGAAAG